ATGGTGTAGAATCTGTGTGGGTAGAGTTGAGGAACCACAGAGGTAAAAAAAAAAGCCATAGTTGGAATTATGTCAGGAGCTAGGGCTCCAGATGCACCAGGAGATAGAAAAGGTGTGTAAGAAAGGCAAGTTACAGAGATCATGGGGGATTTCAATATGCAGGTAGACTGGGAAAATCAGGTTGGTAGTGGATTGCAAGAAAAGGAATTTGTGGAATGTCTACGAGATGGCTTTTTGGAGCAGCTCGTGGTGGATCCCACAAGGGAACAGGCAGTACTGGATTTAGTGTTGCGCAGTTAGGCAGACTTGACAAGGGAGCTTAAGGTGAAGGAACTCTTAGGAGGCAGTAATCATAATATGATTGAATTTACTCTGCAATTTGACAGGGAGAATATAGAATCAGAGGTAACGGTATTACAGCTGAATAAAGCCAACTACAGAGGTATGAGGGAGGAGTTGGGCGGAATTGACTGGGAGAGGAGCCTAGCAGCAAAGACAGTGGAACAACCATGGCAGGAGTTTCTGGGAGTAATTCAAGAGACACAGCAAAAATTCATTCCTAGGAAAAAGAAACATGGTACAGGGATGATGAGAAAACCATGACTGACTGGGGCAGTCAGGGATACCATAAAAGCAAAAAAGAGAAAGCATATAATGTCGCAAAGGGCAGTGGAAAACCAGAGGATTGGACCAACAGAGGACAACAAGAAAAGAAATAAGAAGGGAGAAGATTAAATATGAGGGTCAGCTAGCCAGGAATATAAAGGAGGACAGTAAGAGTTTCTTTAGATGTGTAAAGGACAAAAGTGGACATTGGACCACTGGAAAATGACACTGGAGAGATAGTAGTGAGGAGCAAGGAACTGGCTGAGGAACTGAATAAATACTTTGTGTCAGTCTTCACAGTGGAAGACACGAGTAATATCCCAAAAATTCAAGAGAGTCAGGGGGCAGAGCTGAGTATGGTGGCCATCACCAAGGAGAAGGTGCTAGAAAAACTGAATGGCCTGAAGGTGGATAAACCACTTGGACCAGACGGACTACACCCCAGAGTTCTTAAGGAGATAGCTGAAGAGACAGTGGAGGCATTAGTGGTGATCTTTCAGGAATCGTTAGAGTCAGGGAGGGTTCCAGGGGACTGGAAAATCAGTAACATGACATCCCTGTTTAAAAAGGGAGTAAGGCAAAAGACGGAAAATTATAGGCCAATTAGCCTAACCTCGGTTGTGGGTAAGATTTTAAGTCCATTGTGAAGGATGAAATTTCTGAATACTTGTAAGTGCATGGTAAAATAGGGCAAAGTCAGCATGGTTTGATCAAGCGGAGGTCATGCCTGACAAATCTGTTAGAATTCTTTGAGGAAGTAACAAGCAGGGTAGACCAAGGAGAGCCAATGGATGTTATCTACCTGGACTTCAAGAAGGCCTTTGACAAGGTGCTGCACAGGAGGCTGCTGAGTAAGATAAGGGCCCATGGTGTTAGAGGCAAGGTGCTAGCATGGATAGAAGATTGGCTTCTGGCAAAAAGCTGAGAGTTGGTTTAAGAGGGTCTTTCTCAGGATGGCAGCCAGTGTTCTGCAAGGGTTAGTGTTGGGGCCACAACTTTTCACTTTATACATAAATGATCTAGATGAAGGAACTGAGGGCATTTTGGCTAAGTTTGCAGATTATACAAAGGTAGGTAGAGGGACAGGTAGTATTGAGCAGGCAGGGCGGCTGCAGAAGGATTTGGACAGGTTAGGAGAGTGGGCAAAAGAAGTGGCAGATGGAGTACAATGTGGGAAAGCGTGAGGTCATGCACTTTGGTAAGAAGAATAAAAGCACGGACTATTTTCTAAATGGGGAGAAAGTTCAGAAATCTGAAGTGCAAAGAGACTTCGGAGTTCTAGTCCAGAATTCTCTCAAGATAAACTTGCAGGTTGAGTCAGTAGTTAGGAAAGGAAATGTAACTTTGGCATTTATTTTGAGAGGACTTCAATATAAAAGCAGGGATGTACTTCTGAGGCTCTATGAGGCTCTGGTCAGGCCACTTTTGGAGTATTGTGCACAGATTTGAGTCACATATCTCAGTAAAGATGTACTGGCCCTAGAGCGGGTTCAGAGGAGGTTCATGAGAATGGTCCCAGGAATGAAAGCCTTAACATATGAGGACCATTTGAGGTCTCTGGGTTTATACTTGATGGAGTTTAGAAGGATGAGGGGGGGATCTAATTGAAACTACCAGAATACTGAATGGCCTGGACGTTGGGAAGATGTTTCCATTGGTAGGAGAGACTAGGACCTGATGAAACAGCCTTAGAGTAAAGGAAAGACCTTTTAGAACAGAGATAAGGAGAAACTTCTTCAGCCAGAGAATGGTGAATCTATGGAATTCACTGCCACACAAGACTGTGGAGGCCAGGTCATTGAGCATATTTAAGACGGAGATAAATAGGTTCTTGATTGTCAAGGGGATCAAGGGTTATGGGGAGAAAGGGGGAGAATGGGATTGAGAAACGTATCAGCCATGATTGAATGGCGGAGCAGACCCGATGGGCTGAATGGCCTAATTTCTGCTCCGATGTCTTATGGTCTTATGGTCTGCCAGCTGTCATTATTTTCTAGTTTTAGTTGCAGAAAGTGTTTGATTGCTATATCATAGGGAACTGAAAGTGATTTATAATGTATGTACAAAAATGATGTATCACAGGAAGTACTATGGAAAAATATAATCATGCCTTGTTACCAGATAAGTGTGCATGATTTCCAAAATAATATCAAAAGTTTCAAGGATAATATTGAACTGAATTGGCTTTTTTTTCATTTATTGATGGGATGAGGGCATTGCTGACTAGGCAGCATTTATTGCCCATCCCTAATTGCTCAGAGGGCAGTTCAGAGTCAACCACATTGCTGTGGGTCTGGAGTCACATGTAGGCCAGACCAGGTAAGGATGGCAGTTTCCCTCCCTAAAGGACATTAGTGAACCAGATGAGTTTTTCCTCCAACAATTGGCAATGGATGCATGGTCATTGAATTCAAATTCCACCATCTGCCATGGGGGGATTTGAACCCAGGTTCCCAGAACATTATCTGGGTCTTTGGATTAACAGTCCAGTGATAATACCATTAGGCCGTTGGCTCCCCCAATGATCATATCTACTCAAATGAGTGCAGTGCAAAGATTATAAGTCGCCACTTACAGCACCATCTTAGGTATAAGATACCTAGGTACAGATTACTCAGTACAATTTCTTAGGAGAAAGAAATTAGAAAAATAAAGAAATAGGAAGTCCAGCATTACAGATCAAAGGAATAAATTAGAAAATAGAAATATAAGTTCTGACAACAGTCCTTCCAACCCACTCCACGCTGGCACCTAGCCTCCAGTCTGCGCTGGGCCTGGACTCCAGACTGAAGAGCTTCACCTGCCCAAAGCACCCTAGAAATTCTGAGCTGCCTCTTCTGATGTCACTGACTCTTCTGGTTTGACGTAAGTTGTAAATGGGATCACTTTGTAAAGTTCCCAATCCTTGTTGTTTATTTAAGTTAAAAAACATTGTCCTCTCAAAGACTGAATTTTGAGGTACCCCACTCAACATTTCTCCCCTTCTCCTCATGGTGATATCACTGTTCTAACTATTTGTTTGAACATAGAACATTGAACAGTACAGCACAGTACAGGCCCTTCGGCCCATGATGTTGTGCCGATCTATTATCCTACTAAGATCAAACTGCCCTGCATACCTTACATTTTACTATCCTCCATGTGCCTATCCAGGAGTTGCTTAAAAGTCTCTAAAGTATCTAACTCCACTACCACTGCCGGCAGCGCATTCCACACGCCCACCACTCTCTGTGTAAAGAACTTACCTCTGACATCTTCCCTATACCTTCCTCCAATCACCTTAAAATTATGCCCCCTTGTAATAGTCATTTCCGCCCTGGGAAAAAGCCTCTGACTATCCACTCTATCTATGCCTCTCATCATCTTGCACACCTCTCATCCTTCTTCGCTCCAATGAGAAAAACCCTACCTCCCTCAACCTTTCCTCATAAGACCTGCCCTCCAGTCCAGGCAGCATCCTGGTAAATCTCCTCTGCACCCTCTCTAAAACTTCCACATCTTTCCTATAATGAGGTGACCAGAACTGAACACAATATTCCAAGTGTGGTCTAACCAATGTTTCAAGGAGCTGCAGCATAACGTCACGGCTGTTAAACTCAATTCCCCTACCAATGAAAGCCAACACACCATACGCCTTCTTTACAACCCTATCAACTTGGGTAGCAACTTTGAGGGATCTACAGACGTTGACCCCAAGATCCCTCTGTTCTTCCACACTGTCAAGAATCCTGCCATTAACCCTGTATTCTGCATTCAAATTTGACCTTCCAAAATGAATCACTTCACACTTTTCTGGGTTGAATTCCATCTGCCACTTCTTTGCCCAGCTCTGCATCCTGTCAATGCCCCGTTGCAACCTGCAACAGCCCTCCATGCTGTCCACAACTCCACCAATCTTCATGTCAGCTACACTAAATGTTCTCCTGACTGCCTGGGTGTAAAATATCCAGTGAAGATCAGGTATCTATTTTAGAAACTGAACTAATTTCATGTCCATTGAGTTGTGTTGATCAGAATTTAGTGCTAAATACTGAATTACCACATAATGAAACAACTTACAATTAAATATAGTATTCTCTAATGGAGGTATGTAATAGGGTTATAACTGGTCACATCATATCAATCACCAATAGAGTCTTAGAATTCAGGGATCTCATTTTATATTTCAAACTTGTCCACAAGCATAATAGATTGCTACATGCAAATTCTCACCAGGTATGCCACGTCGTTTCTAAAACTGGAAATTACCTCTCTCATATCTAACACATCATCTGAATTCATTTTGTTCATAGTTTTGAAGCATTACAAGATCAACAGTGTTTTGAAATCTGCAGTCACCTAAACAATCAGTAGCCTTTGCAAATTATGTATTAATATATTTTTTACGTCTACAGGGAATTATCATACAATCAAATTCATGTGCTGCCAAGTTTCCACAACTGTCAGAAGCTTGAAGAAATGTAAGTTCTTAATTTCTTAGTTTCTGTGAATGCAAGTTCCTGCAATACTTAAAACTGAAATTTCCCTGCTTTGCGAAATGCAGCAGTTAACAGTGCCTTGTTGTTTATCTGTTATTCAATATTAGCTGTCTTCACACTGCTGCCTGTCTTGCAAGTTATCATTTTTAGAAATGTGTATTTCCTTCCATATGCTCACTATTGGCTATTCATATCCTTTATTTAAGTGCTATTCAGAATGGTAGATAACGATTGTCTAGAAGAAGCCGTATGTCAGTGTCAACCCTCTGAATTAGCACAAGGCCTAAGCAGGACCAAGGAAGAAATAGTCCAACCATTTATTCCTCTGTGATCCAACTTATTTGATTTGCAGCTCTTTCAAGTTTTATACGTGATAATTATAAGTCACTAATAATCCAAGAAAACAGATTTTTTTTCCTTACATGTAGTCTAAATTCACTAAGGCTCTTAAGACTGAACTTTCCAAATCCATGACCACTTCCATCTCGAAGGATAAGGGCAGCAAGTACATGGGAAAACCACCATCTGCAAGCTGCCCTCCAAGCCACTCACCATCCTGACTTGGAAATATATTGCCATTCCTTCACTGTCGTTCAGTTGAAAATCCCAGAATTCCCTCCCTAAGGGCATTGGATGTCAACCTCACTGCACGTGGACTGCAGCGATTCAAGAAGGCAGTTCACCACCATGTTCTCAAGGGCAAATAGCGATGGGCAATAAAAGCTGGCCCAGCCAATGATGACCACTTTCCCTTGAATGAATTTTTAACAAATCATTTTGGCATCAGCAAATCTTGAAATTCAATCCCTCATTCTTCTCCCGTAAGGCTGCAATGAAGGCAGCAGAAATGGGTTCAGTGCTGCTGATCTAGCGAAGAGGGAGTCAAGCTGTTTAGCAACAGTGACACTGGGAAGGGCATGTGTTGTTGGATATTAAAATGAGGACAGTATTAGGTTGGACTTTAATGCTTCCCAGAGCAAAGTAGTCTGGCGATCTTCAAAGACTGTACATGTAAAAAGTCACCTCTTGGGCAAGGTACCAGATGGTAGCTGGTACCATGAAAGCATATCCCCAAGCATGAGTCAGTGCCCTCAGGAAGGAATTGGAAGGGAAAATTGACTTTCAAGGATCAGATAATGGCAACATATCTTCTATTTAACATGAAGCCACTACTTTAACGCTTGATACAAACCACTTCCGCTATGTTTTGTCTTTTCTCATGCCAGAATGATTGATTTTTTCCCCTGTCCCCTGAAACAAGAATGATGTCTTGAAACCTTGATCTCATTGTACTGTTTGTCTTTTCAGTGGCCTACAGCATAATAGAATCACTGAAATCAGAGCTGACACGTTTCAACAGCTAATGGCTCTGCGATCTCTGTGAGTAGGTTTTCACATTCTTTCCTGAAGCAGTCTTCCCAAATGAAGTTTTACTGCACTGTTGATAAGACAGAAACCCGATTCCAGGCACCAGGCTGGAACTCAGTCACACAGGCAGTCATACAAAATAAGATACCTGTGAATGTTCTTTGTAGGTATAGCATCAGTTGCTCTTCAAGCGGATGTTTAAAATAGCTAGGAAACAGTTGCAAAGACAAGACATTGCTTCCTCTTCTTGCCTTAGGTTCAGAGTTTTGTCCATGCTATAACTTACCCTACCTGTATTCTGTCATAAATGGCCATAAACATTTGGAAAGACAAGAAAGAAATCAGCCTCCAGCATGAAATACCATAACTTGCTGCAGTAAATAAACTTTGTTCGTAGTCATTTGCGCCTTTTGTATTCATTGTCCTGATTCATCAAGCTGTGTGGGAAAGTGACTTTTTCTCACAGATGTAACCCTCAGTTACAAAACATTAACCCTTGGTGAATAATTGTTCATCAACATCTTATGTTACAAACTGACAACCCTTATTAAACTATTTAACTGATTTTCCATAACTGTTCCTTATCCATTCCAAGGAGTTTATGTTGTTCTATAGGTTATTTGCAAACCAAAATTGAGCTTATTTAATATCACATTATGAACGTCTTTTTTGAAAGAAGAGAAAAGATGCATTTGTTTCTCACCTACAGGTATTCAAAATACAAAATTGTATTATTGGACATTATATATCACTAATGAGCTGGTGATTTCTCTTTCTGAGCACACAGTTACCCCACTGGGTATCAACGTAATATCTAGAAACTGTAGTCTCCACTTGCCTGAGCTGACTGGACTGGGCCTTGAACCCTCCACTTTCTGATTTAGCTATAGGAGTGCTATGGCTTTGACAAAGGCTCATTGTTAGAAAAACTGGTAGGCAACATAAAAGGAAATAATAAAGGATTTTATAAACAGATAAAAAGTAAAAGATTAGTTAAAGTGAGGGTAGGGCTGTACAAAGATAAAAAGGAATTTGTATTAATAGTAAAGGAATGGCAGAAATATTAAAGTTCACTTTGGTCTAAGTTACAAGTTTGGGTCTGCTGAAGGTACATTTCTGAATGCATTGATAATGGCCCAAATCTGATCTGTGTAGATATCCTGTATTTGCTATCCCCCCTTGAACAAAAAAAAAGCCTATTTGCCTTTCTCCAATTTTGTGATCTGATCTTTCAATGGAAGAGATTTCCAAACTCACCAAGCGTAAAATTCTCACAAAAAAGCAGGGGAGAGAATCTTCACAGACCCCCCTTTATATGGCCCTAGCTGCTGTATTCTGGAAAATAAGAAGTATCAGTGCCTCAAAGTTTTTTTGAAAACCTACCTAGAGTCGGTAAGTGGGTTTGAGTGTGTTAAGTAAATTGGAAAGGCGGCAGTTGAATGAGGTGATTGATGTGCAGCGTGGTAGAGTGGCAAGTGGGCAAAATGGGTAAATGGGTCAGGAGTAATGGAGTAGATTTGGTAGGCAGTATTCAGAGTTTCAGTGCGCCATACATCAGGTCAAATCTAGTGAAATTGGGTGTCAGGTCTAATGAGGGAGGGGAGTTGGTGGCATTTGTATCTGGTGTTCTAGTGTGTAGGTCAGAAGGTGTGAAGGATCGGATGGTAAGGTCAGGTGAGGGACAGAGTTAGAGGATCAGGAGTAGTCCAGGAGTTGAGTATGGAGTGTAGGAATGTTTTCTGTTTTGTAGTCGTTCAGGCAATGGTTTTAATGTGTCTAACCTTTTTTCAGTGTAGGGAGGTGATTGCGTAGTGGTAATGCCATTGTAATGCCACTAGGCTAGTATTTTGGGAACATGAGTTCAAATTCCACCATGGCAGATAGTGAAATTTGATTTTAGTCAAGGAATCTTAAATTTAAAAAAAAAGACTAACCTAATGGTGTCCATGTAACAAATGTTGCAAAAACCCATCTTGTTCACTAGTATCCTTTTAACAAAGTAAGTCTGTCATTCTCACCTAGTCTGGCCTACAGATCTACATCATTGCTGCTAACTCTCCCCTGCACTCTGGACAATTAGGGATGGGCTATAACGGCTAGCCTTCATGCTCACATCCCATGTTTTTTTTTTTAAAGTTCAGGTAAAATAGTCAAAACTGTCCGATATCTCCAGTTCAGAGTCAGAGACTTCTTCAGGGAGTTCTGGGGAAGACAGAAATTGCCCATCAGAAGCTCAGACTTCCGGGAAAATATCTAAAGAGTCATTATGACAGACTTCTGTGAGAACACAAACTACATTTTGGACTATGGTGATGTTCTACACTTTGGAGACCAGAAAGATCGGGCCAATATGTCACTCCACTGATCAGTAAAAGTTCTCAAATTCTTATGTCCTTGCAGGATAATGATGATTAGAATTAGTAAGGCAAGGGAAGAGTGGGATTTTCAGACTAAGATTCCCTTATGATTCAGATGTAATCCCACTGAGATAATTTCAACTTTGTCAGTGCTCAAATGATGGAAAGTATTGGGCCCAATTTTGATTCTGTTGAAGAGTTAAAATTTCTCTTTGAATCAGTTGTTGACTATACTGCGCTTGATTTTTCTTTTCTCAATGTCAAAGGAAGGGAATATTAGGAGGAGCAGATCGGTCAATCATGGTGTATAAATCATTTTGCTTTTTAATGTGATCCACTCTTTCAGGCCCCACAAATAATTTTTTTTTAGTATTCTCAGCTTAAAACTCAACCTACTTTTTACACATGGTATATAATGCTCGCCTTAATGGTCAGCCTACAAATGAATGTTTTAGTTACCAGAACCTTGTAACTGGGTGCAAGGGATCAAGCAGGTGATATCTACTATGTTGTGAACACATTGTGAAAGTTTAAGACATGGCCACATCGAGCAGACACCTTGTGACAAACTTGGTGAACACCCACACCTATGCCAACACTAGTACTTTTTTTTACTGTGCATATAATTCAACCCCCAATTTCAGAGGATTATTTCAAGACTTCAAAGTTCAATTTATATCCTGACATCAATGATAATTGTTGACCAGCAGTTTCTATTTTATTTCAGAGATTTTCAGCACTGCATTTGATGTGAAGTTTTAGTTGGGAGGCAACATCAGAAAATCTGGGGGTTTTGTCATTTGTAAGAAATGGAATTTAAAAAGAAATCTAGAAGAGGCATCAAATCTGTCAGGCTTTGTTAATTAAGTTGTGAGGTAGGACTAAATGGGAAGCTATTTACACTGGCCATTGAGTTATTAGCTAAAAGGCATAAATTTGAGACCGTCATTAAAAGGGTAGAGGAAAAAGTTCAAAAGTTTGCTTTATGCAGAGTGTTGTTGGGATATAGAATGTTCTGCCAGAAAATGTATTGAAAGTAGAATTCATAATAGTCTTATAAATGGGAAATAAGTTTTTTTTAACACGTAAAAAGATATAGGGATAGGGTAGGAGAATTGAAATATGAAACTGGTTCTGACATAGCAGACTGAATGGCCTCCTTATTTACTATTCTGCTCTATGTTCCAAGTATAAACTTATTTGCACTGTCAAGAGTTTTGTGAAAACTATTTCTGTTCATCATATACTGTCAGGGAAAAAATATTACTGGGTTACAATCAGTCAGAAAGGGTTAGCCCTGTATTTGCATACTGTATAATGATTATATGTTTTCACTATGTTCAATGATGGACAATTTCATTGTAATACTTAATAACTTACAGTTGAATTTCTGCTAATTTCACCTGAGCTTGTTTTCTTGCCTACAAATCTTTATGTTCACTGGCGTCCACAGTGGAATTTTGCTCAAGGCTACCTCAGGATAGGTCAAAGTCATTTTTGAGGCTAAAAGTCAGCAAATTCTCGATACCAGAATATAACATTTTGATTTAGTACAGATTTCACCTTATCATCCTGCATGAAATGTTATGCAGCGCATGCTTCATGTGATATGACTTGTGTTGAAAGTATAGTGTTTCAAACTATAAATCAGATATTTACCTAATAATGTTTTTTTCACTCCAGAGACCTGAGTTGGAACAATATCGACTTTATTCATCTTGATGCCTTTGCTTCATTACGTTCTTTAAGAAAGTTGTAAGTATTTATAATTAGTGCTTATTAAGTAAGATGTTACACCTGTAGGAGCAAAGCAGATTTGGCTTCCAATAATAAGAAAACTGTTTAAAATATAACATTGTTACTTTTAAATGAATGTTAACAGCCATTTATCTGTAAAGAAACTGCAATGCAATAAAATACCTATTAAGTGATCTAATTATTATGGTTTCTTGTCAACTTTCCCTATCTCTCACTTCATGCTAGCATTCAACCATTTTCTGTCACTTGTACAATCTGGAGTATCAAAGGTCTTCCGACCACATTTTGTTTGATCAAATCAGACCATCAGTTTGCACTATCTTCTGTGAATTTAAATTTCCGTGATATAAGTGCTCAGTATTTAAATCACATACTCATCAGCGATATTGAAGATATGGGAAGTGATGAATTGAGAAAGGAAGATGGAATTATTTCAAGGCCATGTTAAATTGTTTCTTTTGTAAAATCCTAGCAAAATTTAGAAGAAGCAGCCACACCTCAGAATTCAATTCATAGTTTGATGTATATTTTAAAAAGAAAGTGAAAGCAAAAAATGTTTCATTTAAAGGGCAGCATTCTACAAGTGATCAGACCATTATTTACATTTCATCATAAAGATGGTAATGGTAATCTTGTTGATTATGTACTTCAGATGAATAATCATTGGTGTTGACATAACTGTTCAGAGTGTATATTCATTCTAGGATTATATGATGTGCATTCAAATATGATTGGTTGAATAAACAATTGCTCACAGACCCCTCACCCATTTAGTGTGAACAGAGAATATGGGAGCTCTCCACCATCCTTGGGCACTGATGTTAAAAGGGTGAAAAAAAACTTCAGAGGGGACACAAATAAGACAGCAACTTACAAAACGATTTTGCAATTACTTGAGTAATTTTCACAGCCTTAATTGTAATAGTTAAGAAGAACTGGACTTGTCCACTCCTTCCTCACTGCAATCTGACAGCTCACAATTTTAATCTGAAGGCAGCAAGGACAGGGTGGTCTTTAAGCATGCACCCGAGGCCTTGATGGAATGATTGGAGCTTGATCTGTTTTGACTGGAGGCTGCAGCTGTAAAACAGTGACAGCTTTTTCACCAGGACAAACCTGATGAAAACTGAAGGCTCTGACAGAAAGAGAAAATTTTCAGATTTATTTGTGAGCCCAGAAAGCTCATTTGAGCTGCACAATGAAATCTGACTCCTCCCACTTTCTGGAGTTCCTCCTTAGTCCCCCTCCAATCACAATCATCCCTGCCTTGTAGCCCTTCACCAGTTCGTTATGTGAGTGAAAAACTATCAATTACTAATGTTTATACATTTGGGTACATGTCAACACGCAGCCCCACCTACACCATGGAATAGAGATAGTAGGAACTGCAGATGCTAGAGAATCCTCTGTGATGGAAAAAGATTATAGTAACTTTCAATAGAAAGGTTTGTGAATAAATCAGGATCTCATGTGCTGTTTGATTTTTCAATTAATTGCAAAATAATCTTTAATTGCAAACCTTAAATATATCTACTTTTAACAGGGATCTGACCTTCAACCAACTTTCTTCTCTCCCTTTGAGTGGCCTGAGTGGATTGACACATCTAAAGCTCAAAGGAAATCTGGCATTATCAGAATCCTATTCAGAAGAGAGCTTTCCTAAGCTAAGGTATTATTAAAACTCAATTCAAGTAATTCAGAATGCTTCATTTCTAGACCTTGAAATATTCATACTCTGGTGCAGAATAAAATAGTAATATTTTCCTTTTGTTAGTGTATACTGTCTATGTAAGTCTTCTACAGAAGTGACATTACTTTAAAGGGACACCATTTTGCAACAATAGATTAGTTCACAAGGAAAAAAATTGCTGTATTTACTAGCATTTAGCAAATATTTAGAATGTATTTGCAATCTCATGAAAAATACCAATTGGAGGAAACGTTCATGCATGTATTTCTATTGTCAATTCATATCATGATCAGAATTTCCTATTAATTTCATTGTCATACAGCACAAAAAAAAAGTCTGTTCAGTCCAAACACTACGCCAACATAATCCCAAACTAAATTAGCACCTGCCTGCTCCTGGCCCATATCCTTCCAAACCTTTCCTATTCATGTACTTACCTAAGTGTGTTTTAAATGTTGTACCTAGTGCCCACATCCTCCACTTCCTCAGGAAGTTCATTCCACACGCAAATCACCCTCCATGTAAAAATTTTTGCCCCTCATGTCTTTTTTAAATCTCTCTCCTCTCACCTTAAAAATATGCCCCTTAGTCTTGAAATCTCCTATCCTAGGCGAAAAGTGTCTACCATTAACCCTCTATATATCCCTCATGATTTTATACTCAAATGTGAATGTGGATCTGGCAATAAAAGTCATGACAATCATATTAATAACCTGAAATTACTTCTATTCAGTACTGTAAGCAATAATATGGAAAGACTACTTCAGGGAATTCTACATTCTAAAATTATAAGGAACAACAAATTTAAACTTAAAGAACTTTATGTAATGAGATCTGATTCAAACCAAGAAATCCAAGCAAGTAATTTGTTGTGATTAATCATATCCCTTAATTTATATTTAAACATAAGCAAAAAAATGCAGAAATTTGAGGTGAAAGAATCACACTGATGAAGTTGGCTTACTGCACAAGAGCTGCACAACTCATTGTTTGAGAGGCAGTTTTACTTCAAATCATTCCATTTCCACGGGTCTCATAGTTGATTAGTGAAAAATTATTAAGGTGAAAAATAGGCTCATTAGATATAGAAATGCTAGACGTACTCAGCAGTTCAGGCAACAACAGTGGAGAGTGAAAGAGAATGTATGTTTGAGGTCTGTCACCTCAGCATTACACTGATATACCATGTGAATGGAGACAAAGGCTGGATATCTCACTCCTGAGTTGGGAGCACAGGTGGGAAACTCACCTGTCCCCAAACCAATTGGAGTTGGGCCAGCAATCCATGAAGGGATGTCAAGTGCAGAGGCAAGCTGTTTTAAAGGCCTAGCTCATTGCTTTTAATGTTCTTACCAGTTACAAAAAAAAAACCCTCGATCACAATCCAAAATGCAATGGGAGTAGAAGGGGAATCCAGCCCCAAAAGTCTCCAGGCCACTGTGGTTGCTTTCAAGAGTGAATTTGCCAATCAAGCCCACCTCTACCCCGATTAAAATGAATGAAATGAAATGTTGAGAATTTACTCTTCCAATCACGTGCTGGTTCTCTCCTATTCTTGCTGCTGATAGGCTCATTATTGCCCTTGACATCAAGGCTGCATTTGACCGAGCATGGCCAAGAAGCCCTAGACTTAATAGGAATCGGCAAAAACTTTCCACTGGTCAGAGTCATATTTAGTAGAAAGGAGCATGGTTGTGGTTGTTGGAGGGTAGGGCAACTCACAGTAGTGTCCTAGGACCTATTAACTTCAGTTGCTTCACCAACAAACTTTCCTCCATCATAAGGTCAGAGGTAGGGATGTTCACTGATGATTACACAATGTTCAATACCATTTATGACTACTCAGATGATGAAGTAGTCTGTGTGCAAATGCAGAAAAACCTAGACAATATCCAGGTTTGGCCTGACAAGTGACAAATAACAAATGACCATCTCCAGCAAGAAAGAATCCAACCATCACCCCTTGACATTCAAATGCATTGCCATTGCTGAGTCACCCACTATCAACATCCAGGCAGTCACCATCAACTAGAATATAAAAACAATGGCTACAAGGGCAGGTCAGAGGCTAGGAACCATGCTGTGAGTAATTGACCTCCTCACACAAATCATCCACAAATATTTATTCCCTCTATCATCAATGTTCAGTAGCAGTAGTGTGTACCATCTCCAAAATGCACTGCAGAAATTCAGCAAGGTTTATCAGACAGCACCTTCCAAACCTATAAGCACTACCATCTAGAAGGGCAAGGATAGCAGATACATGGGAACACCACGCTTGCATGTTGCCCTCCAAGCCACTGACCATCTAGATTTGAAAATGTATCAGTATTCCTCCAGTGTCACTGGCTCAAAATCCTGATCTCCTGCACAAAATGGACTACAGCAGCTCAAGAAGACAGTTCACTCATGCTTTCCATGAGCAAACAGATATAGGCAATTAAAGCTGGTCCTGCCAGCATTGCCAAACCCCAGGTTTGGTTAGCCATAGGCTACATAAAATGCATGAAATCTAATCAACTAATTAGTCTTTTTTTTACATGCATCTCACCTAAAGCACAAGGATATCTATGACTGCATGACATGTTCAGCCTGCTGAAATGTGTACTGTAATATATATTTGCTCAAACAGTTGAACTAAAGATTGTACAAAACCATTATGAGGATCACTCTTCCGAGCAAATTATCCCTATGCCAATTCCTTAATGCTTTCTAGAAGCACACCATAAACTATCATATTCAACTTACATTCTCAGATACAGCTAAGTTAAGAGACATCTGTCCTCAATACATCAGGCTTCCTCATGCTGCAGCAATTCGACCAAAAAAGCTATTGGACACAATTTTCCTCTCCCTAGAGGTGGAGAGAAGAGAAAATAATCAGGTGAGTTGGCCCTGGAAAAAAAACACCCCCTCCCCCCACATCCCCCACAGCCCCCACACGCTCTTCTCCACTTCAGCAGGAAGGTCCATGAGCAAACTTCTCAGCCTGCTGTCATTTGGGGTCCTTAAGTATTCAATTTGTGGCCATTTAAGAGTCTCAACTCACCAGCTCCCTGATCACCTAGTTCAATAAAAGACAATAAAATGCATTTCAGACAATAAAAGTGGCTATTTTTCTGTCTAGAAACCATGGTGACCCATCGATTCAGTTTGAGAGTGGTGCTCACTTGCTCTAATTTGGGATCACTTGCAGGCAAGGACAAGGAGCAAGAGCATCGTGTCTGAAACCACCTGCATGCCCTTGCCTCTGACCTCTCCCCTCAATCACAACATCAAGTAAAGAGTATAAGAAGTACTTAACCTTTCCCCACTGGATCTCCTGAGGAGTAAGCTTGGGGGTGCTGATGAAGTTTAGGACCAAGATGTTGTCAATCTCTGATTAACCGGCAGCGTCTTGGGACCCGAGGCCCCCGATGCACTGAGAAACTCACCCATCAGTTCTTAATCAGCTAATTGTTGGGCATTTGGATGGCATTTCTTAGTTTTGGGGATGGTGGCTTCACCACCATCATACCTAAACCAAAAATGGCAAAATTACACCCTGGTGATATTTCAAAGCAACTTTCCCTCTATTGGTTTACGGTAACTCAGCAGTTGCAACATAAGAATAATAGTAGATTCAGGAAAAGTACAGTTATCCCAATTAATGTGTTTTTCAAATTAGCATGGTATTAGTACACAGTGTATTTATGGAAATCAGAGGGGGAAACAGGTAGGATTATTCAACTAAGTCTCACTCTGACAGGAAGAACCATTCACACTGCAATTTAAACATGCAACTGCACCTTTGCTTCTCCGAAAGCAGGATAAGATATATATAGTTTCCAGTTTTACATCATGCAAACAAACTAATGTTGAAACATTACAAGCTCACTGCTGTCTCTGAAAGAATTCTAAACAGTTCTTTTGCTCTCTAATGATATTGTTGTGCATTTAGATTTTATTGTCTTTACAACTTATAAATTAATTCCAAAGTTTGTGTCTTGAATTACAGAGTATTAGAAATGCCATATGCTTATCAGTGTTGTGCATATGGATCCTGTAAAAACAATTACAAGCAGTCTAACCTTTGGGATGCAGAGACTACTCTCAGTGATGATGAAGATGTCCAGAAAAGAACTATGGGAGTTTTTCCTGTCCCACCAGACAGCAACTGTAAGTATAATAATATTGTTCCAGTTGTTGTTATAAAACATTCATAGAGATGCTGGAGAAGATGTGAAGAAGATAGACAAGAACTATAGTGGAACTGGGTGTATTACATATTAGGAGAGGTTTGGCAGACTGGGTCACTTTTCTGTTGAAAAACAAAAGACTGAGGGATGCCCCATTAGAAGTTTGCAAAATTATAAAAGGTTTTAATGAAGTAGATACAGAAAGAATAGTCCAGCTAATCCAATTACCATTGGAACTGATTTGATCAATGGTTATCTACTTTAATATTATTCACTTACGTGTCAGTGCTTTTTCCAACCAAGATTCCAAATCTGGCCTGTCCTGAATGCATTCATTAGAGGAAATCAGTATAGCAGTAGCGTACAGGACAAGATACATCTCTTAAAAGAACCTAAAGGCACTTTGATGCTGAGGAGAGGTAGGTGAGAGTAAGGTGAATAGGTCAGGGGTAATGTACCAGGTAGGTGACTGCAGGGTGCAAAGTGGGAGAGATAGGTAGGCTGCCAGTCGGGAGAGACAGTTACAGTGCCAGGTGGATGCTTATGATAAGGTGGCTTTAAATCTGCCTGTCAGTCAGGTGGTTGTGCAAAGGTGTCATGAGCCATGGTCACAGTGGTTAGTCCTTGCCCCCAGTAGCCAGCCTTGTAAGGCACCCAGATCTTCAAAAGCACCTGGTATACAAGAGTGCTGAAAAATATACAAATATTCAAATCACCTGAATATTAAACAAATGAAATGCTTTCCTGTTGATTAATTCTGCTGCACTGCGACACTGAGTGTGTGCAGTTAATAGCACCTCAGGGAACCCAACGATGTTTCTAAATGCAACTGCCCGGACTGCAGCACCGACCTACTTTTGGGAGAACACACTGAACTGGTGTGACTGTCCCAGATGGCATTGATCATTGTCCTGGTGCACTTGTGGGGGCGCAACTGACAGATCCCACACAGGTCACCCGTTGCTCCCTTGAAGGATCCAGTCAGGCAACAGTGACCTTCACGACCACCAGGAGAAGATGTCCTCCTATTCCTGGATCAGGCTCAAGGGGCCAAGTGGCCTATTTCTGCTTCTAGTTTGTATGCTCATATGACGGTCAATTCTGATAAACTCTATTTTCCCAAAAAGTGACCATCAGGTCCCATTCAGTATCCAACACCGTTTAATCTCTGTGTCCCAGGACATACAGAGCCTGCATCGGCACTTGTTAATCCCCAGGAGATGGAGTTGAGGCTAAAAAGCCCTGGGCCTCCTGCACATCCTGGACGTCCTGGGGCTCTGTGGCTGTGACCTTTCCCTGAAATGTGTGCTCCTCATCATTGGCCTTATTGCTGCTCCTGGGATTGCTGTTAACCCTGCTCCTCCTGCATTCTCCTTCACATTATTAGGAAGGCAATTGCAGTGACCAACATGCCACCAGTGGCAGGATCCAGGACTGTCAATGGAAATGACCTAAAATGGAACTGAAGAAGCAAAAGTGTTTCTCAGACCTCAGTTATTGGTGAAAGTAATAACTCAGGAAACCTCACTGGAAAGTAACATCATTTATTGTTGAATACCATATTCGAGCCACTACTCTTGGCATACATAGTGTAGTCCCAGCCTAGGATAGACACTTCTGGGTCTGCTTTTTTAATTTTATTTAATCTATTTTTCAAATCAACCCATTCAGGGATGTTATTACACACCTCTGGAACAGGTGGGACTTGAACTTGGGCATCCAGGTCTAGGGGTAGGGACTCCACCACTGTGCCACAGGAGGACCCCCATGGGTCTACTTCATAATTTTTAAACCCATTTTTCTAATCAACTAGTTCAGAGATGTTATTACACACTTTTGGAACAGCTAGGACTTGAGCCAGGCCCTGTGACTCAAAGGTAGGGATCCAACTGAGGATTTCCAGTTGGGCAGGCCATTGCCCATTACCAAGTGAACTTGTACTCAACGAGCTCCACATGGGGATTAATTAGTGATTCCCTTTGGGCCTTGTAGGAGTTATCACAGTAGCATACCCTGCAGATGAGGGCTGAGCACACTCCTCCACACAGTGAGCTATGCTGCACCTGAGTAATGAGGGACATGTCTCTATCATCCATCCACATTCGGTCACAGTGCGCAGCAACTTGGTGAAGGTGCCATACCAACTGAGTGCTTATCGAGAAAGAAGCACCTACAGTGCTTTGACACCACACCAACCTAGGATTTATACTAAACGCTCAGCTTCTCAACACATTCAGTACAACTATTGTCATATTTACCTTGTTAGATTGGGATCACACAAATCCCTTGGAAGTTGGATGCAAGGTGGGTCCCCTTCAGTCAGAATTGATCTTTTGTAATGTCATTGCTGCTAACTTGCACATTATTGAGATGCCCAAGTTCAGTTTACAAGCTCCAATGGCATGTCGCAAGTTACTTTTGCAATCCACCTATCAAACTTTGCTGAGGCCCCTGGAACTGTTACATAAGCAGATAAAGATATGGAGCAGAAAGTTCAGAAAGAACATACAGGCCTTGGCTCCCTTGGTGAACATGCTAAACCCATGCCCTGAGCAGAAAAAAAAAAATGCTAGGTTAAAGCAATGATTCTCAAATATTGCTACCAGCTCCCTCCATATCATTATTGGCAAGATACCAACCTAAATCCTTGTCTGTTTTTTTTCCCCCTTTCATGTAGGGCCAACTCCTTGAAGTTTTCTCTATGTTTCTTTAGACATATTGCTCCCCTGTTCCATTGTACCTTTAAATTTATATCCTCTGACTACAGCAGATTTCTGACAACTTTCCATATAGTTCCCAATCTTCACTCCCTCCCGACCCCTCCATATTTAACCCTCCCTCACTTTCATGATTTTGCAAGTGACACTCCCTAGTGGAAACTCTTGTAACCACACAGTCACAGTTTATGATCAAAACCACAGTAATAATAAAATGATTATGCATCAAAGGAGTCACGTTTTGGGAGAACAGAGTTTATCAGAGTTGACCGTCATATGAACATACAAACTAGAAGCAGAAATAGGCCACTTGGCCCCTTGAGCCTGCTCCACCATTCAATATGATCAGAACTGATATGATGATTCCATATCCCCACCTAACCCCAATAACGTTGCATATCTTGCTTAGCAAGAATCTATCTAACTCTGCCTTAAAAATATTCAAAGACACTGCTTTTTGAGGAAGAGAGAAAAAAAATTCTCCTTTCTCTCTTAAATGAGTGACTGCTTATTTTTAAAGAGTGACCATTTAACTATGGATTCTCTCCTTTCCACACCAACCCTGTGAGGACTCGATGTAATTTCTGTTATGAAAATAGTGAATGTTGTGTTTTTTTGCTGGCTTTGCTAAAATTCTCATGAAATCATCTTTTACTTTCAAAAATATATAGTTTACCTGGATATGGATGACTTCCAGTTAGATGTGGATGACTCTAAACTACATCCCAGTATTCAATGCACACCTGTTCCAGGTGAGTCACCAAAATGCTTGCAACACTCCAAAAGCAAAAGTAATAAATGCAAACTGAAATACCTAGTTTCAGATAAAATAGCAACAGTTTCCAAATATAGAAGACACACCTCAACTTCTGACTAATCCCATTTTTGCTGGTAGAAGAAAGATGGATGGCTGTAATTCCAGTTTCCTCCTATAGTCTAAAGATGTGCAGGTTAGGTGAATTGGCCATGCTAAATTGCCCATTGTGTCCAGGGATTTGTAGGTCAGGTGGATTAGCTATGGGAAATGAAGGGATAGGGTTGGGGTGGGTCTGAGTGAGATGCTCTTCAGAGGGTCGGTATTGACTTGATGGGCTAAATAGTCTGCTTCCACACTGTAAGGATTCTGTGATTCCAATGAATTCATGAAGGGAAGGCGCCCAAACTCAGTAAGTGCTGAGTTCAAACAGACACCATTTTGATGGTTGCAAGGACTTTAGTCCACAAGGTGGAGGTCACTAATTTGTGGAGTAGATGTAAGTGCTCTTAAAGAGTAATTAAAGTCTGTTTAACTTTCATGACCTGGTGGTTTAAATTATCCTGTTTAAACTGGCTGCAGCTGTCAATGATTGTTTAAAAACAAACTGCTGGTTCGAATAGATGGCATAGTTCTGTTTTAGCAGTCCTATTAGATTTGTTCATTAACATGTACCCAAGGGTTATTCATTGTGAATGTTCTGCTGAATTACAAACACTACAATAATCTCAGCAGGATTCTTCTGAGTTCACAGTTTGATTGGCAGCTTGAAGAGACTATTAGACTATTAAAGGATTCAATATAAACAAAAACTAATTTTTTTTTAGACAAATTCAAAACTTAAGATTTGAAAGCTGTAATAGTTTCAAGATTTAGATTTCTAGAACTTTATTTTATTTCATGTTCAGATGGCTCCTTAGCTCTGCCCTTAGTGGACACTTGTTGAGTGACTATGGAATTGGCATACTTGAGTACAATGTGGAGGGCTGAGAAATGGGTGGATTGTTGTCATGAGATGGCATTCAGTTGAGCTATAAGGCATGTAAGTTGAAACTAAGTTGGCATGCAAGGTATGTTGATCTTTCAGGTGGCTGGGGGTGTGAGTTAGAGTGGCTAAAAATACTTAAAACAACTAGGACCAAGTTCCAGGCAATCAAGCTCAGACTTCTAGCCAACCTGCATCCATAACCTGTTTCCAGTGTTGGCAGGCCATATTTATCCTGCATCTATCCCAAAAACCCATGAATCATTGTAATTTTTAACCAAAGGAGTTCCAATGATTGGAAAATTTCCGGACTTGATCTATCAATCTATGTAGACAAATCTCAGCCCATATTCTAGCTTCAAGATGAAAATATAAAATTTCTGCAACCTTACACCACAAATATGATTTTTAAAAGGTGGTTAAAATATGTCAACCAAAAGATGCAACAAACTGAGTAAAATAAAATACAGATAAGTTTGCATTCTTATTTCAGTATTTCTAACATTACATTGTTAAAATCATTGCAGGTCCATTTAATCCATGTGAATATCTTTTCGAAAGCTGGATAATACGCCTTGGAGTTTGGGGCATAGTTCTTATCTCTGTGATATGCAATGGACTAGTCATCGCAACTATATTTGCATCATCCAGCTATCTATCTCCAGTGAAGTTTGTGATTGGTCTGATAGCAGGAGCCAATATGTTGACAGGGTTGTACAGTGGCACCTTAGCAATTGTTGATGCAATGACTTTTGGGCAATTTGCAAAGCATGGTGTAAAGTGGGAAACTGGCTTGGGCTGCAGAATAACTGGATTTGTGTCCGTATTTTCCTCAGAAGCATCCATACTGTTCCTGACTCTTGCTGCTGTCCAGTGCAGCATTTCTGTGTCTTGTGTCCGTGCTTATGGAAAGTCACCATCTTTCAGTAGTGTGAAAATTGCTGCTTTTTGCTGCATGGTACTATCATTTAGTGCAGCTGCACTGCCTCTGTTCTCAGTTGGAGAATTTGGGACTTCACCTCTTTGCCTCCCGTCACCTATTCCTGATGGAAAACCTTCCACTCTCGGTTTCATGGTGGCTCTAATCATGATGAATATCCTTTGCTTCCTTGTTATAACTGGGACATACACCAAACTTTACTGTGACCTAATGAAAGGTGAATTTGACAGTATCTGGGATTGTGCCATGATTAAGCATGTAGCTTGGCTAATCTTCACCAACTGTATCCTATATTGTCCTGTGGCCTTTCTCACATTTTCTTCCCTGCTTAACCTTTTCTTAATCAGTCCAGAAGTAATTAAATCAATTCTGCTGCTGGTCCTCCCACTGCCTGCTTGTTTAAACCCTTTGCTTTATCTGTTATTCAACCCACATTTCAAAGAGGATCTTCGCATTCTCCGTGAGTATAAATGGCAGAAAAGGTGCCGATCAAAACAAGGCAGCATAGATTCCCTCACTTCAGAAGACATGGACAAGCAGTCATGTGATTCCACCCTAGCACTGATGACCTTTGCGGATAATGAAATCATTCTTGATTCAACTGATGGCCTTGGAGTTCTATCAAGTCATCGTAAGATGATGGAGGCCTATCCATTTCCTCCTGTAACTCTAATTCCATGCCAACAGAGGAAAGGCAATGGTAAAGAAGAGAGCTACTCAACACGACAGTCTTTCCTCACTGATGAGGAGCTCTTGATCACTTCAGAGAAAACGGAGCAAGCTCACAACAACATTCAGATCAGCTTTTATCCAACCAAAGGACCTTCCTTCACATCTCATGTATAAATATCTGAACTAAGTAATCCCAAGAGAGGCACAACTCCCTGGGAATTACACAATGAAACAAAGAACTGGATGAGTTAACATCGAACAGCTAAATGGGATTAAAATATTGGCACCATCTATAAGTAGCTGTTCAATCATTCAGCAAAGAGGACTGCCATAGATTTAGGTAAAATAAAGGATGGTCAGGGGTAAGTTACAGATATGAACTGGTCTTCAGAAGGTTTGTGGCTAGTAAGTGTGTGAATAGCAAAGTTACACATATGGGCCTAAAACCAATGAACCACTTATTTTATAGGCTTGTTAAAGTCACTGTACAATGTTAAGAAATAATGTCTTTCACAGTGTTGATTTCATTAAAGGGAAAATTCATTAGCACTTGAATCATGAGACTCCTAATGATCCAATGTAAATGTATACTGTGTTGAAAACATGAATGGAATTTGATGGCAGCTTGCTGAGTTATATGACAATATAATGCCATATATACTCTTCATTATATTTTTACACTATTAAGTCTTTTGGTAGATTTGACAACTTACAGAGGGAAGATAGTTGAATTGTTCATCTCACATATTATCATTTGCAGATAGGAAAGCATGAGTACATGATGGCTTTCAAATACTGATTTTTTTTATATTTGATATCTTGGTAGAAGTGAATGTTAAATGACAATAGAAATATATTTATTACAATAGAAACTTTCTGCATAGAAACACTACAAAGCCTACATTTCTGTATAATTGGACAGCACAACAAATGATGTATAGTAAAACTACCTCTTACTAGTACACTATATATCCTTTTACTGACAAAAAGTCGCTTTTTATAAGAATTGTTTAAACTGCTTAGTTGTAAAAATATAGAAAGTTATTTGGATGTACATATACATGTACTGTACTCTGTTTTTAAGAGGCTAAACTTAGCAAATTTATGTAAGAGTAAATAATTCTTGTCATATACTTGCTTTGTCATAAATTAATGTATTCAGAGCTCTCCATTGCATTTTTATTCTTTGTTTCCATTTTTCTTTTGTTTAACTGTAGAAATTAAGGCAAGCAACAACAAGGCTTAAATGGAACAGCATGCTATTTACCTTCTAAAGTACTTGTAGATAAAATAAAGCTTTAACCAACAGCAATGCTGGTCTCTTAATACACTGATTTAATTTAGTGTTATGTTAATCAGGATCTTTCCTGTATTCTAATCAAATCTATCAATGCAGTAGGAGAAGTTGTTAATATTATTTTGTCACCAGACAATGCTTGTTGTTGCTGGCTAAGATACAAAAATATTTCCAATGATCAATTGATCTTTTTTTTTATTATAATTAAATTGAATTTGATAAAAGGGAATGAAATGACATATTACTCCAATCTAGCCAGTTTTCTTCACTTTGAGTGTAAGCAATCATGTACTAATGTATGTCTAATATAAATGTTTCCTGTCCTTTGTTATGTCCACAATATAAGTAGACTGCTGGGGCAGTCATGTTGCTAACCCACTCAATATGAAAACAATCCACGGTCAATATAGTTTATAATCTGCATGAGAAATACGATGCACGGTGAGTTAACAGTGTGAGAAATTATGTATTGATAAAATGACTGAGTTGTTCTTTAAAAGGACATGCCAATCACTGTTCCACTGAAAGAGGAAGGAATGCAGAGTTCCTTACTGCATGCAGTGAAATTTGCCTAAAAATACACCTGTTCTGAAGAGATCATAGGATCTGTGTTCCACAGCATTTCTGGCAAGCGACATCTTAATTTCATTAAGTCCTTCAATTTGCCATAGTATATTATCATGAATTATTGACAATAAATAGATATTAGAAGGTTAAGGTATCAATTATAAGCTAATTAGTGACAGAAGGTTTTAAATAGTTTGCACTAACTCACCAGACAATTGTAATGCACATTTACAGATAAATTCACCATTGCTTGTTACTAACAGAATCAGATTGCAGTGTTACAAACCTGTCTGTGACCTGCAATTCCTTTCGAGGATGGCTATCTGTTGGGAACCTGGCTTTTGCTTCAGAGGCTCACGGGATTTTAGAGGGATTGATAAAATGATTGAAGGTCAAAATATCACTTGGTATGGGAAATGGAATGAAGGTAGCTACCTAGTATGCGTTGTAACAAGCATATTAAGCTGAATAGCTAAATTCTGTGTTGAAATTTATCTGATTCTCTGAACTGTTTCACTCTTTCTGCACTCGTGTAATCAGTAGTACCAATAATCTTAAACTGATTACTGTCTGGGCCACATTACATATAAACTTACTTTCTGAACCTCTTCTGATGCATTCACTTCCATTTCCGTCAGACACAGAAATACATCAAGTCTAATTGGGATTAAATTGTCAATATTCAGCTCTGTTGCTCAATGAGCTGCCCTGTAACAGTGAAGGTTCTCAACATCATGTTGGGAGCAAATTACTGTCTTATCCCACAGCTTAAGCACTGCTGGTATAGAGGGAGTACTGGCATGAATGACTATTGGCTCAAGCCTTATTGTTGATAAAATGAATGTGTGGGCAGGACAAGTAGGATAGTTAAATACAAGTTTAATTTTTGTGGGCTCACCTAATAGCTGGCCAATTTATCCAATGAGTAAATTGGCCTGAGGCTTGATTCCTGTCTTGTCTATTTGTCTAATTTTAACAACACAATCTGAGGTGTTCTTGAATTAACTTTAAGCATCCCTGAATGGGTAAGAGGTGAAATTGTTCAGGGTTCAGACTCCTGATTACTATCCAGGAAATCTTGTCGCAAGTGCCTATGTTTGCAGATATTGGAGGACAGGCGACTTGAGTTCATTTGCAATCACCTGTCACAATAAAATAGTCTCTTGTCATTTACAGTCCAGGCCCATGTTTGTATAACAACCACTTGGTGAAGGTACCAGAAGATATTGATTGTCCACGGAATTTTAGGCCAATAATTAACCTTCTGTCAGCAGAAACTGGTACACGAAACAAAAAATCTAGAGAAGCAGTGATTGAATTTTAGTTTGACAATTAGGAATAGATTTTCAACTGCAGCTGAGTTCTGTTCAGGGCAATGAGGTTTGTTGTGAAATCAGGAAACAAAGTGGAAAGAATTTTCTGAATGATCTACAGTGCTCACAGATGCAGATTGCCTTTAAGTGAAATTTCCATGCTTGGCTAGGTCAATTGACAGACTGAAGCTACTTGGGGCAGGAGGACATTATGGTGTCAAAGTCTACAAAATCAGATAGGTGGAACAGTAAGAGAAATAATGTGGGGTGGGGATGTGAGTCTGAATCACACACTGAATTCAAGAGGAGGATAAATATCACAGATGGAGTTTGACAATAATTCAAAGGTAGGAGCCAATTCTGGTTATTGGGTCACCAATGCACAGATCATGGTGGATACTTTGGACTCAGAGGAACCACACTGCCCTTCCTGGCCCAAACTCTGCTATGAAGGTATTTACCTTGTAGCATTCACTTATTTCAAGTTGCTAAGTTGCCAGTAGCCAAGAAATTGAAGCCACCAAGAGATAAAAGTGGAAATTTGAACTAGAAAGCATGAAAATTTGTGATTATATTGAAGTGATGAATCTGCTTTCTCTGAGCAACTTGGTAGCCCACCTCTCATTCCTGCCTCTGTTAAAACTGAACTGGGTAGATTAAGGAGGACTTGTTTCTTGGCATTTTAGCACAGCACCAATGTACCCATTTTTGAAAGTTAAAAATCAGCCTTTCCTTCTAATTATGGGTAAAAAAACTCCCTAAATTTGATTCTAACTAAGCATCTCTGAAATGGCCAGAAAAGGACACATGCTTTGGAATGTCTCTTGTAATTTTTAAAATCACAGATCAGAAATCTAGATTTTATGTAAGGATTGAGCCAATATATTTATCTAAAATATGCTGCAAATTAATGAAGACCATGGTTAAGTGTATTCTTGATGAAGAAGATTAATGGAGATTCTGCCTGCTATAGCACCAATGTGGGTTTATGTCCCAAAAATATTCTTTACATTTTATCTACATCAATTGCATAAAGTTTTATTTCTTCTCTCAGCTACTGTATTGCTGGATTGGACATTTCCACAAAAGTTCAAGTGCACAATTTGTATACTTAATACTTAAAAAGAAGCTAGCTCTACATCTTCCACAGAGAGTGACTAATAAGGATGTGATATTTTAATTTTTTTGACTGTGTGACAACTAAATGGGTGGGCAAATAATTTATTTACAAGTTTCCATCTTTTTTTTGAGCATGGTGCAAAGCAGTTTATGAAAACATCTGAACAGTGACCCACTTCAGATTGCCTTGCTCTCCTCCCTCCACGGTGGGAAGATGCTTGGACTCAAGCTTCATTGTTGACGATCTCACAAAACTACCTTCACCAACACTTTTGCAAATTCAATTTAATAAATGATGAAGATCTCAAGTTGCTCCTAATAGAAACCTGTGTACTATATTAATCAATCAGTATGTTTGCATTTTATTCCAATCTAGTAACCCACCTTCCACTGTTTCGTTCCCATTTTCTTGTATCTCTTGTCTTTATGGGAAACTCATTGCAAAAATCAGATGTTACTCAGTGTTACTCAAAATCTTATTCCCTGGTATCTACCATGCAACTCTGAAGCACTCACCAGCTGAAACTTAGTATTTTCTGCAAGTGAATTCCTTTCTATAAATAATGATATGTAATCAATGCCTACCTACCAGATCAATTTAAAATTGGGATCTAAGTCACCTGTGTCTGTGTTCCATCAGTCATACCCGCTTCAACTTTTTAAAGCATGTTGCTTATCAATGTGAATGCTATCAGTATGGAGAAACCGAGCACTTTCCCACATTAGGCATGCAAAATCAGGAAAATATATTTCAATATAAGTGCCATATAAATACAAAATCACGCATGAAATATGCAATGAAATGCTCTCCACTTGCCTGGATGGATGCAGCTGCAACAACACATAAGAAATATGATGCCATTCAAGCCAAAACATCCCATTAGCACTTATCAATCATTATTCAATCATTCTCTCTGCTATCAACATATAGCAGCAGCAGTGAAGATGCACTACAGCAGCTCACCCAACCTGTACCACCGAGCAGGGCAAGGGCA